AGTCCTGGGATGCTCCAAGGCGACCTCCGGCTCTGATGATGTCATGTTTATCGATGAACGGATTAAGCGGAAGGATTTCACTCTTCGCATCGATTGGTTTTTTAGACTTCAAGTTTGCGTATTCTTCACCATAATAATGCTTCTGGTAGATTTTTATCAGGATTTCTGCCGTTGTTTTAATTTCATTAGATGAAATTAAACAAGAATTTTCCTGAAATGAAGCTTTTGTTTTGGAATGAGTTCTTCGATAGAATCTCATAACATATGATAAAACTCTCAAAGCTCTCGGTAGATCGGAAAAACGGTCAAGAATATCGATATCATTTGCTCTTGTTGTCGCATAAGTGTGTGCTCTTTTTTCTTCAACTTCTGTATGATAGTCTGTTCCTTGAGCGGGCCACTTGGAGTTGTCTTCTTGCAGCCAAGAAGGTCCCTGCCACCACAAAGAATTGTTGACCAATTCTGACGCAGGTAGTCCTCTGCTAGCCAAATCGGCTGGATTTGAGGCCGAGTCTACGTGTAGCCAGTCCTTCTCCCCTACTTTTTCTACGATTTTCGTAATTCGGTGGGCGACGAAGGTTGACCAAGAACAAGGCGGCTTTCGTATCCATGCGAGTACGATGGTCGAGTCCGTCCATAGATGTGTCTTCACTGGTCCTAGGTTGAGGTTGTTGATTATAGATTCTATGATTTCTGCGAGCAGTACTGCTCCGCAAAGCTCCAGTCGTGGTAGCGATATAGTTTTGACGGGGGCTACTCTGGTTTTTGCCAAAAGTAGATTGACCAAAATTTTGTCATCTCTTTTGACACGCATATATGCCGTAGCCGCATATGCTTTTTCTGATGCGTCGCAGAAACCATGTATCTCTATGGTGTCTCCAGGTGAGAAGTATACCCATCGAGATATTCTGATATTATCTATTTCGTGGTAATGTCTCGTAAAATGCTGCCAACGTTCTAAAATAGTATCAGACACAGTCTCATCCCAGTCTGTGCCTTCTAGCCAAATACTTTGCATGAGTATTTTGGCTACGATGACTATTGGTGCGAGCCATCCCAGTGGATCGAAAAGCTTGGCAATCGCTGACAGCATCGCCCTTTTCGTAATAGTGTCGTGCTCCTCCAATGGTCTGACCATAAAATAAAATAAATCCGTATGGGCATTCCACCTTATGCCCAGAGCCTTAACCGTGCTGGTGTCTTCGAATGCTAAGAAATCTTCGCTAAGAAGGTCCGTTTTTGGGATGCCCTTAAGAATTTCCTGACAATTTGAGGTCCATTTCCGTAGTGGAAAACCAGCTGATCGTAACACTTCTGAGATTTCATCTCTTGCTTTAATGGTAGAGTCGACGCTATGTCCTCCAGCTAACACGTCATCCACATACATGCACTTTCGTAGTATGTTAGATGCTATTGGGAAAGAATTCTCTACATCGTCGGCTAATTGCAGAAGTGTCCTTATCGCGAGGTAAGGTGCGCTATTAATCCCGAAAGTGACAGTCTTTAATTCATATAGACTTACAGGTTCGTTCGGGTTTGTACGATAAACTATTCGCTGGTATTTGGTATGGTTGTTATTCACCCAAATTTGGCGGTACATCTTCTCGATGTCGCTATTAAAAACGTACCGATATAATCTCCAGCGGAGTATTAATATTGGAAGATCTGCTTGGAGTACTGGACCTGGGTAAAGTACGTCATTTAAACTTGTACCATTAGCCGTCTGGCTTGAGGCATTAAAGACGACCCGAACTTTTGTAGAGGTGCTTTCCGCCTTTATCACAGCGTGATGGGGTAGAAAGTAATTATCGGAAGAGTCTGCTGAAATGCTACCATTTATCCTGGACATGTGTCCCAGTGATTCATATTCTGTTAGTACCCTATTATACTCCTTTTGCAGGACGGGATCCTTTGTAAGCCGTGTCTCATTCCGGAAGAACTGAGAGCATGCTTTTTTAAGAGAGGGGCCTAGGCAAATGTTTGCTGGAAATTCCTGCCTAAATGGTAGCGAGACTACATATTTTCCATCTGGGTTTCTCTCAGTCGTTTTCCGATAAAGCTCTTCACAATACTTGTCGTCTTCGTTTAAATTTTTGTTTTTCGGTATATCTTCTAGTTCCCAGAAAGCTGTTAGTTGTTGATCCAAGGCAACTTCGCTATGATAAGAAACTATGTTGTTTGTTGGATTTGGTGCTTCTGTGCGACCGGTTAAAATCCAACCGAACACGGTTTCTTGGGCAAGAAGTGTACTGAGAACATTTTTCTTCAAGCCGCACAAAATAATTTGGGGATAAATGTCTCCGCCAAGTACTAGGTCTACTTCTTCGTTAACGTAGAACCTTTTATCTGCTAAAATCAGATCTGGAAATGCCTGCATAGTCATAGCGCTGATATGGCAGGATGGAAGATTTCCAGTTAATTTTGTCAGCACGAGCACTGTTGCATGTAGACTAAACAGTGGGTCAACAGGGGACCGTAGTTCTATGTTGCATGCCTCCTTGACCTGAGCAGAGGTTGAATTCGTTATGCCTGAAACTTTGGCATACATCTTCTTAGATGGCAGGTTGATTCTGCGTTTGAGTCGTTCTGTTATAAAGGAACACTCCGAACCAGAATCAATGAGTGCTCGTGCTGAAAAATCTGTACCATTGAGACGTATATTTACACGAGCCGTTCCTAAAAGTACACCTGAGTTCATATTTGCATAATTAGACTTAACGTTTTTGCTTTTACCGGAGTTAGTTTTATTGAAGTTACGCCTTGCTGCAGCTTGTTGCGAGGTTGAGGCAACATCTTTGGCAGAGCTCGGTGGCGTTTGAGGCGGTGTTGCCTTTGGCGGAATTGTCTGGGTGTGCAGGAGCGTATGATGTCGCGAGTGACACGTGCCGCAATTGAAAGGGCTTGTGCATCTTGACACAGTATGTCCAGAACTCAGACAATTCAGGCAAGCATTGTTGCTCTTTAAAAACTCTATCCTTTCAGTTGGCGTTAGCTTTAGGAAATGGGAACAGCGGCGTAATTTGTGCTCATTTGTTTGGCACATTTTACATGTGTACTTGGTTACGCTTGTTTGGAACGCGCCAAGTCTTTTTGTGGGGGCTTCTGAGGGATGTCTGGTGTTTTGCGGCTTTGACGCTTTTACAGACTTTGTGCCCTTTATGCCTGACATGGTTTCCAAGGTTTGAAACCTATTCGATAGGAACTTGTCCATGTCTTCCCACTTTGGTAAATCTTTCTTGTGATCTATGGTTTGTTCCCATAGAGCCAGCGTACAGTCGGGAAGTTTAGTTGAGCATAGATATACAATAATTGCATCCCAATTCGAGATGTCAATATTATGGCTCTTGAGCGCTGATAAACAATTATTTATATCGCGCTGCAACTTCTTCAGTGAGCTACCACACTCATTATCTATGGAAATTAGGTTGAAAAGAATTTTTAGTTGCGTATTTATGAGGATACGCTTATTTTCATATCTCTCACACAGGTTATTCCAGGCCGTTTGAAAACCTTCATTGGTGAGTGGACATTTTCTTACTATGTCTTTGGCTTCCCCTTGAGTCTTCTGATTCAGGTGAAATAGTTTCTCAACAGGGGTGAGCCGCTTGTTTAGGATGTATATGGCTGTGAACATGTCACGGAACGATGGCCATGACAGATAGTCGCCCTTGAACACATCTGTGTCACACGGAGGAAGGTGAATATTGTGTTCACGAACCGACTGATCTTGTACATCCTTCTCTGCATTTACAAGCGTCTCAGACTGACTAGCCATTACCGACATGCATTTGACATAGCTGGAAAACGAGCCCTTATGTTTCCGTCTAATTGCTTTAATGTCATCTTTAGAAATTCCTTCTTTATTTATGATCGCGTCATAAGCTACTTTGGTCTTTTCCCACAAAGCCTTTAGTTCGTCTTGCTGTATTGCAAGGCCGTGTTTGTTTTGCTCTGTGGCTGGTGTGCTATTGTAATCTGATTCAAATTCGATTACAGATTCTGCCAAACGAATAAAGGTTTCCATTGCGGTAATTGATCTTCAGATTACTCTTTACGAATTAAAATTTGTTGTAGTTTTCGAAAGAAGTATGTTCACTATAAATAGGAATAGACCGTGTATATTCCAAACTGTCGTATATGTATAAATGCACAGCGAAACTTTTGCCAAATTGTCGAAAAGAGTATAAGAGTACCAACGTAGCTTGTTTAAACTCTACGAGCCAAAACCCAGAAGCAGTCAAGAAAACACTACGATTTAAAATTGATATCTCTTTCAGAAAATTGATGATTTTTTTATTTTTTCAGAAAAGTGATAAGCATATGTATGTATATATATGTTTATGTGCTACTCGCCACCCAACACTGCCGACGAAGGTATATATATATATGTATAAGCATATATGTATGCACAAATTCGTGTGTACACCCAACGCAACGTCGTCAAAACTAATCCAAATGGACTTAATTTCAATTTTTACCAGCAAATATTTCGCAAATGGACTGAATTTAGCGTGGTGAAGTGATTTTTGTGAAAAAAAATGTGAAGGAAATTAAAAATTTGAGGTTATGTGACCTCAAACACAGTGAATCAGTGTAATGCAAATTTAAGAAATGTGCTGCACGAATTAAATTGCTTATGCACAACGAAATTGAAAGTGAAATTTATCGGCGCTTTGTTAACTCGAGTAGCAAATCGAATGTGGCAAGTGGCAAAATACCAAAAAATTGTTGCAATATGTAGTGAGCCGGAAAGCAATGTGTGCTGCACTTTGATATTTAAGTTACATATATGCCACTGTTCACTGTGATATGTGTAGGTTGCACGGTGCACCAATTACGAACTGTTAATGTCGATGGACACTCTTCACTGCGGTTATTTGCACAAGTTCAACTTTTTTTTTTTTTGTTTTTTCTCACAAATCACTTCAACTCGCTTGGATTCACTTTGAGGTTATATCTGGTAATTTTTTTTTTGTGCACTTGAATTTGTAACCACGTACCTTAGTTTCCTAGTAGCTGGTGAAACTGCTTGTTGGACGATGATGTTATCAGTGTTTTTCTGGTTCGTGGCACGAATTAGTGTGGCTGTGGCTGTAGCAGGATCGCTGTTATGTGCAGCTTGATGTGACCAAATTCCTTTTTCGTAGAAGTGGCTCAATTACTTCTTGGGTTCGCTTTTTCTTCTAATGTGGACTGTATGTTGGTTTTACGGCTCCTAAGGACCAATAAAAACGTCAGTGTGACGCAGTGCGGCTCAGGTGTGGTGCGCAAAATGGTCACAATGAGGTTTGAAAATAATAGGAAAAAAAGACAAATAAAACTCGGTTTAGTTTAATGGTTTTATTAATTCTCCAAGTATTTTGATTTGATTTAGATATGTTGGTTTACAATGGTTTTACCTGAAAATAATGTGGCCTGGTAGCTGCAGTTCTTTCTCCTTGGTCTCCCGATGTGAAAGTGAAAAAAATCTAAAGCCGTGATTTTCGTTCGAACCGCCGGACAAAGAAAAGACGTTGAGGGGAAATTCAACGAAAGATACTTTATCCGGCGGGAAACTTAAACTAACGGCGCGAATATATAATATACGTACATGTGTACAAGTATGCATGCATAATTGTACACATATGTGAATGACACATTAGGGTGGTGCATTATATTTGGAAATATTTAGGCTTAAGGCCTAAACAATAGCAATAAAAAAAATCAATTCAGGGATAAAATTCAGTATCTTATCTACAGTAGAAGTTTAGAATGTGCAATAAGGAATATAACAAAAACAATTCAATTATATGTACATATGTACGCATGTAAGTTCACTCTTTCTAAACTAAGGTTTCAAAAGTAGTGATAGGAATACAAAAAAAATCAATGTAATAATTAAAAATCCAATAAAAAAATGCAATTTCGCCTCTTAAAATTTCAAACAAAAGACAGCAAAAGAAATAAAAACTTAGCAAACTGCGTACATACGTATGTAACCCTTTCTTCGTTTAAGCTATTGTGTATCGAGTTGGTGTGTGTGTTTGATGTTGCACCTCGGCGAGGTCATTATGGGTGTGCATTAGTCCGTTGGTCACTGTCCATGGTCAAAGTCGGCTATCTTCCCCAAAATAAAGTGTTGGTGTGGCACGTCAACATTCGAAGCACTCGCTCCAAATGTGGATGCCATACTCTCCCCAAAACCCCGTGTAGACACGCTGCAAGCCTCACGTACGAGCAGTGCTGAACCCCACGTTCGGTAGCCTAAACAGTTGGCTGCACAAAATTAAAACTCCCCAAAAACGTAGTAATCTAGTCGATGGATACGGCATTACCACCTATCTCACCTACAACAAAATCAAGTAGAGTCATGCCTTGTCCTGGAAAACGGAGATTCGAGAATAAGAGAGAGCAGGAAAAGAAGGAAAACGGTCCGGTCAGGCGGAGTCATCCTTCCCCATCTGCTGGTATACACGAAGCAGCCATGGACCTTGCCACGACTCCAACTACTCCGCAAGGTCCCCTATACCTGACGATAGTTCGTATGTATTCAAGGGTCTATGGTCCGTTCAGTCTCATGTCTGTCTTATCGTCTTGTCGACACACCCATTTCCCCTCTGTTGCACTAGTGCAACACCCCACACCACTGATCTTAACTTAGCCGCTCGTATTCCTCTATAGTATTGCCTCATCAAGACTTCAAACTCTTTTTTTTTTTTTTTTTTTTTAGATTACAATATATAAACGTCCCTTTTATTTAAGCCAGCTCATGTATTTCACAATTTCACAAAAAAAAATTAACTATCTAAATATTTATTAATTCTTAATAAAAAAATGACTATTCTTAAATTACCTATATTCTGTGCTCGAATCTCAAATCCCCCTATTCAATTGTATCTGTATATTCATATGCCTGTCATCCAATCTCACTGCGTTACACTTCTATTTTTTCGCGATTGCAGATCGCAAGTTTGCATGTAAATAAACGCACTTATATATTAGCGTGTGTTACTTCGAACATGCTAAACTCAGAACAAAAATATATGTATTTGTATCGTTTCAAATATTCAAAATGTTTCTATTCTAACCTGTTCCACTATGAGAAGTGGGATTAAATTTCGTCACTCCCTCGCTCTACCCAAATGCTAAAACATTGTCACTGTATATGTGTATGTGTGTAAATAAGCTTAAATGTTAGCACTTACCGCTCTCTCATCCGATGGATGCGCCTGCATCAAAGAGATGGGTGAGCTGCAAAAAACGTGATTAGCGCATACAACATATATTTCCAATGCTTCCACATTGGAGCTTGGAAAGGGCCTCGTGTGTGAGTCTTTGACAACTCCAACTAAATTTCCTTCACTACTTCGATTACTCTGATTAAAGCGATCGGGCAAAAATTCTTTATGATAAACCAAAAAAAATAAAAAAAACTGCGAGCAAAACTAAAATTAATTTAATTTGAACAAGGAATATTAGCAGAACTAATGAAGTGCCTATGGGTGAGAAAAGAACAGAAAAAAATGTACAACTAATCTTAGCTTAAGCCTACTAACAAAATACATATGTATGTGAACAACTCATAATGACTGCTGGCGCAAGCAAAAATTTAACAAATAAAATGCAGTCTGATCCGCCCAATATGGATGCTCAAAAATTCAAAAACAAGAGAATAGTGAAATTCAAATTCGAAAAGAAAAATTTTAAACCTCTGCTATAAAATAACCAAACAAAGAATAAAGACTTGGTGGTGACCAATTGATATCCCCACTTTATTAGCTGAATTTGCCACNAAAGACTTGGTGGTGACAAAAGTGAGGTTAAGTCCACCAATTGATATCCCCACTCTATTAGCTGAATTTGCCAGTACGGTGTGCGCGTTGGATTGTTATCGCCTCTGAAGAGCGCTATGACGGAGCGTGTGGATGCTATTCCCGCTACGTCTGGTTCTCTGGAAGCTTGCGTGTTCGGATGATTGTATATGTATGTATGGACGTTTCCCTGCTCCCACTCGAGTTGATCACCGTGCTTCTTATTCCTGTATGTGCTCATGTATGTATCCGCGCTAGGCGCATTAATATATAGAGGCCCTAATCACACCCCTGCCTGGCGAGGACCTAAAACAATAATTGATCTGCCTTAGTTCATTTGTACATATGTCTTAACTGTGCCTTAGACGGTCCCAAGCCCGGTTTGAGAAAACAGGAGGGAAGACAGGGGGCTTTGGTATTTCCAGGGTACGGGCTTGACAACCCCGTCTACCCCAGTTAAAGGCTACCAGTCCTGAGTCGGTGGAGGTTCAACTGGAAGAAGTCTACGCCTTTCGAGAGTCATACCAAAGACTTTAAAAATGGTGCCACGGGGAACAGATGCCCCCGGAGTGTTTTCGTCGGCGAGACGAGCAAAACTGGTGACACAAACAAGGCTTGCAAGGCAGGCAAGGCAAACACTGGCATGGCTTACACGACTAGAAAATGGAGAAAATGGTGAAAATGGAGATAATGGAGAAAACAGTTGTAATTGGAGGAAAAGTGTGGTGGAAACCGCTGGAAATGGTGAAAAAGTTGTGCGCAAGTTGAGCAATTCGATCCGTTGCGAAAGCTGAGCCGTGTCACCGCTCCTGGATGTGGAGGGTGCCCACGAGCGAGGCGAGTAGGACGTGTGAGATGAGCAAGACGGAGCAAGATGGTGAATGTGTGTCGAGCAACTCGATCGGTCGAAAGTTGAGCAAGTGGTGTCACCGCTCCTGGATGTGGAGGGTGCCCACGAGCGAGGCGATTAGACTTGTGAGACGAGCAAGACGGAGTATGAATGTGGAGTGAAGTAGTCGTGTAAGTCGTTCTAGTGTGAGCTGAGTCAGTTAAGTGGGTCAGGGTGAGTTGAGCCAGTCCAGCAAATCTCGCCGGCGAGCATTACTCCGGTCTGTTCATGGGTACGGCCCCTTTGGGGAGTATCGTGGTGGCTGTGGTTTAATACCTAAATGCGGGTAGAACCAGCAATGGTTCAATGTGGAGTTGCATTGCAACCGGATGTCGTGATCCACAGATCGTCAGAGGTTTAGGTAGGCCTCGGCCCTACCAAGGTGGTAAGTGTGTCCACCACATACTGCCAATTGGTACTGAAGTGCTTGCAGTTCAGGGCAGTGATTAATGCAAAAATTAATCCGTTGTGCCAAATGCGGGCACCGTGGTTAAGGCCGTTGGCAGGAAATCACGTAAAGCCTACATGAAATCTGTACATATGTCTTTTTATCTAAAGTGTTTCATGTTATTTATGTATGTATAATGTTTGTAGATTTTTCTCGTATGTCGTTATGCTTGCATGTACATATGTACACACATATGTATATGTCTACGCTTGTTCATGCAAACAAACATACACACACGCATATGTACGTAATTACATCCGTTGCAATTTATTTCTTTAACCTTCTTAATTTTATTAAATTTGCCTTTGATTTAATTTATGTATATTTAATTTAGTTTACTTTAGATTTACTTTATTTAATTCTTAAACAATTTGATTTTAATTTAATTTTAAGGAGCTTATTTTAATTTATTTTAATTTTAACTAACGTAAGTTTAATTCGAATTAATTTGTTTTTAACTTAATGTAGTTTAATTTCATTCAATTTATTGTTAAGTTAATTTGGGTTTAATTCTATTTATTTTATGTTTAATTAAATTTAATTTGACTTATCATTAATTCACTTTGTTAATTTTATTTTACATTATTTTATATTATTTTATATTATAGATTCAGTTTAACTTTCTCACGCTTGGTTATAGTCTGTTTATTGCACTTAGGCCAATTTGTCATAATTTTGGATGTAAAGAAACTGTAAACTAGACTCACCTCTATCTTGCAGGATTTTTCACGTTGAAATTTAGTCATACAACTTTCTTCCGTTTTAACGGATTTAGCTCACCATAAAAATAAACTTTGTACTTTTGGTTTACTTACTTTTCACCCACGAACTCTAAACTTCTCTTAGCTGACGCGCTTTTCTTTCTGATCAAACTAACTATTGGTTTAGCGATCGTAACCTGACGCATTTGCCGCTCTTTGAAATTTCCTTTCCCGATGTAACTTTCGCTCAAAACGATTGACAACCACACAAATACATAGATACTTCACAACTTTCATCCCGCTCATACTTATGCACATATACTCCTACACTTAACACACACATTCATAGTTCCGGCCGACCACGTATACATGCACATGTGCATCCCTATTGCTGCCTTTGCAGATACACGCATAGTGCTTGATTCGTCGCCTAAATGTTGCTGGCGTGTGGCGCTGATGTTGCTTGGGGTGTTCCGTTGACGTTGCTTGGGGTGTTACTTGCAACCTGACAGACTGGCGCTACAAGGTGTATGCAGCTTATCAGCTCGTTGCCGCCGTACTTGAATAAGTCAGCTGGCAGGCCTTCAGCTCCAGCAGCTTTGTTCTTCTGCAGGGTGATCGCTATTCGTACCTCGTTATGGTCAGGCGGTGGGACATCGACTCCATCGTCATCGACTGGGGGCCTTGAGTAAGTCCTTTAACTCTATGATAAAATTTTCGGGCGTCTCCCTGTCGGCCAGCATTCCAAGCTCTTCGCACTCACGTATTTCGCCCTCTC